CACACACACACACACACACACACACACACACACACACACACACACACACACACACACACAGTCAGGTCGATGCTTCTCCCGGCGTTAGGTAGCGGCGGCTTAACTCGTGTTAGCGTCAGGGTTAGGTTGTTACAGGCCTTATGAAGAGGAAGACTAAGGACGACCTACGGAAGATTAAAGAAAGAGGAGGAAAGGAGAAGAATGAAGAGGGTTGTCATGAGAAACACGAGGTTGTGGAAGAGGAAGAGAAGAAATGGGAGTGTGAAAGCGGATGAATCAATAGGAAGATGGGGAAATGAGGAAGGAGAGGAGGATGGGAAGGAGTAGGTGGAATGGTGGTAGGAAAGAGGAAGTGTTCAATAGAAGTAGGGGAGGTAAATGAGGAGAGGTTGGAGAAGAAGTAGAAGGAGGGGGAGAAAGAGAAGTAAAAGAAGAATAAGAAGAAGAAGAAGAAGCAGAAGAAGACGAAGAAGAAGGCGGAGGAACAGTAGCAGGAGGAGGAGGGGGGATGAGAAGGAGGAGCAGCAGCAGAAGGAGGAGGCGGAGAAAAGAGTAGAGAAGAGAACCATGCACGTTTATTACCACAGGTGTTGTTTTGTTAGGCGCCAGGACGATTGCTCGGAAACGACTGTTAAGCCATCACATAGGTCGTGTGAACTTACAACAACAACAACAACAACAACAACAACAACAACAACAACAACAATAATAAAAACAAAAACAACAACTATAAGAATAACAACTACAACAGCAGCAACAGCAGCAGCAGTAGTGGTAGTAGTAGTTGATGCTGTTTTAGTAGTAAACTGTAGTAATAGTATATAGTAGTATAGTAGGAGTAGTAGTAGTAGTAGTAGTAGTAGTAGTAATAGTAGTAGTAGTAGTAGTAGTAGTAGTAGTAGTAGTAGTAGTAGTAGTAGTAGTAGTAGCAGTCGCAGCAACAGTAGCCAGTTGCAGTAGCAGCAGCAATTATCCGCAGTATTGCGCAGAGAGTATAGATTTACCGTGCACGCGGATGTGTAATACCTTAGTAATACGCATTGAGAAATGAATGCAATTCCACGCATGCTTGAAACCTTCCCTCTAATGTTGTCATGCGCGCACGTTGTTGTATTTATTTGCGTAAATTCTATGCTCACCGTTTATGAATGTATATATTTTATATCGTAATGCATACAATCATGTGAGATTTGCGTCTTTCAAAATAATTCTAAATAGATTGCGAGGAGCGCGGTGTGAATTAGATTCTTGTATGTCATCTCCAACACGAGCTCTGAATCTTTAAATGCCGCAAATGATGAATATGCTAATTTATACATAGAATTCTTAACACGAAAACGTCGTCTGGTCGCAGTCTATAAATATCGCATGTTATTTTATTACACCCAAATAATGTTTATTGAGAATACCAATCAAAGAATGCTCCTATCATGAATTTTCCCGTCGGCGGGTTTTTACTGGGACTTTGGTTTAGGAAATCACTCACACAATGTATGTTGGTATCCGCATATATGCTTGTAATGATAGCTATACCACAATACATACGTGTGTATACAGATATCTCTGCTTCTAACGTTGCTGTCTGTATATGAACGATGGTAGCGATACTCTGCGTCGCTGTAGCTCGTGTCGCTGGGTTATCGGCCAGTCGCGGCCATGTTTCTCGCTGTCCCCATGCTTCCACGGCCTCACACGCGTGGCAGACGTGCTTGTTTATGAGTCAACAGTTTACGCACCGGCCACGAGTGCTGAGAAAACACGCCGTCAACAAACAGACTCCGGTGCGCGTGTAAAGAATCCACTAAGCTAGGAAAATACGCCGCCCTGCGCGAGTCGAGACGTCGTCGCCAGCATCCGCTAAACATCAGCTGCTGTCTACTTAACTTTAGCGCTTCTGCCGCGCGATGAATTCCAAATATAACTGCTTGTTGTTGCTCCCAGTTAACGTCTCGTTATCTGCGCATTATAGCCAACACAAAACTTTTTTCAGTCGGTGAAACGTTGCAGCGATTTCGTCGCCAATTATAGATGTTCCGCGTATATACCTATTCCGTGCCTTCACGTGATCATACATGCTCTATAGTTATCATCATCATCGTCATCGTCGTCATCATCATCATTATCATCATCGTCATCATCATTATCATCGTCGTCATCATCATCATCATCGTCGTCGTCGTCATCATCATCATCATCATCATCATCATCTGTGTCTTATCGCTAACGGGTTTCATCTT